CCCCTCACCTGGGTGCTCGCCCCGCTGCAGGGCCAGCAGCTTCATCTTCTCAGGGGGCACGTAGTCTCCTTCCTTCTCGGATACGAAGGGGGAGAGGTGTGGGGGCAGCGGCACCCCGGGGAAGTAGTCGGCCACGGGGAGCAGGAGCCGGGCGTTCACAGAGTCAAACACCCACTGGGGCTGCACGTAGCACCTGGCAGCGGCAGCGGAGACGGGTCAGGGACCACCGCGGCCCCACTCCACCCGCAGACGCCCGGAGACAGACCTCTGCACTCAGAACCCCAAAAGGCGAGGGAGGCAAGGGCCCTGGGGGCCTACCTGCCGATGACAGGGGTCTGCTGCCCGGGCCGGTCGACAATCTGGTGGGTAATGCAGGAGTCTGTGACATCATAGGTGGCCCCGATGCACAGAGACTTGTCCCAGGACACGTCTCCCCCAAAACTCCTACAGGCACAAGGGGAGCCCATGAAAGTACTCAGGCATGAGGTGCTGCCCTGGGACCCGCTGGCCCCCAAGATCACCCTCCTAGGACACAGCTGTCCCCTCCCCACCCCAGGACACCCTGCTGGCCAGCGGAGACCTTCTGCCCTCAGCTGGTGAGAACGTGATGGCCGCTGCCCTCCCGTGGGCACTTCCTGTGCGCCCGGGGTACACCGCGCACTTCCCAGCACCGTTTCTGTTGAATCCCCACACAGCCTTCAATGGATCCTGACACCACCCCGAAGTACCCGGGGGTGCCCAGGCTGCCCTGGGCGGGAGGACCCAGCCGGAGAGCGGCAGGGCCAGTGCTGTGGGCTTCCCACCTGATGATGAAAGCCAGGGCCTCACGGGGCACCTCCCGGTTCAGGAAGAACTTGAGGCCCTCGAAGAGCTTCTTCTGCTGCTCCTGCGCCTGCAGCTCCTTCCTGCGCTCCTCCTCGTGCGCCGCCGTCTCCTGCGGAGCAAGGGCACCGCCACCGTCAGGCCTGCCCACGCCCCGTCAGGCCTGCCCACACCCCGTGCAGCTTCCTCTAGACCCCTCAGCCCCCGCTCCTCCTGGGAGGCAGCACGGTCCTCACCCCGTCGGCAGGAAACTCGTCCAACTCAGCCTCCTCCTCTGCAGGCACCACCACCCGGGCCAGACTGGCGCTGAGGGCGGCCAGTTTCTACAGGAAAGAAGCAGGACTGCAGGGCGGCTGCTTGGGGAGGTTGGGCGAGGGGGAGTTTGGGGGGGCTTATCTGAGGGTGGGGCCAGGGTGGGGAAGGGGAGGCAGTGATAGTTCCTGGACATCAGTGGGTTTGGCTCTGCGGGAAGTCCCGAGACCACACATGTAGCGACAACCACTCCCGGGCCAGGGCCCACCCTCCTGGGGATGCAGGGCCCACCCCCATGGGGGATGCAGGGCCCACCCTCCGAGGGATGCAGGGCCCGTGCTCCAGAAGCCACTCTCACCTCCATGGAGCTCTCGGAGTCCAGTGCATAGCTGTCCTCACGGGCCTTCACCTCTGTGTGGGCCTGACCCTCGAGCTGGGAGGCAGGGGAAGGTCAGGGGAAAGCCTGCCATGCCCAGCCCTGCCTCCACGTGGGGACTGCCGGGCTGCGGCCCTGCGCAGTGAGGCGGGGGCTGGGCTGGCGGGCCCTACCTTGGGGGGGTAGTGCAGGTTGAGGGACTGGTAGAGGCGGAAGTTGACGAAGCCCAGCAGGGTGGTGTAGAACTCCGTGAAGGTGGCCATGACCCTGTAGTCCACGTCTGTCGGGTGCTGGGGGCACAGGAGGCACGTCAGCAAGATGGACGCAAAGATGACACTGACAACCCACGCGCAGTGAGGAACCCTCCAGGGCAGCCCTGCCGTGGGACTCTGCCCCCCAGAAAGAGACTGTGTGACGTGTCCCCACCCAGGGGCATTCTGGGAACCAGTGAGGCACTGGACAGGGGACGCGGGGGCCAGAGGTACCCCACCTGTGCCCACACTCACACCTCCGTCCTTCCGAAAGCATCTGCAGGACCCCTGATGGGCCTGGCAAGCATCTGAGCACCAACCCCATTTCCTACAGCACAGTGTGCAGTGGGGTCCCCCCACCTGCCTGGGTCTACCTGGAGGACCCAGCGCTGGTCGCTTAGAGGAAGGGGCACATCAGGGCCTCACCTACAACCCAGTACTGTCCTCCATCCTCCTGCTGAGAGGAAGCAGCGGAGGAGGGGTGGGGAGGGAGGAGGGATGGGGCTGTTCCCTTCCCCCAGGCCAGCTGGGCGGAGGCTGCCTCCACAGGGCCCTATTCACCGCCCAGTCAGAGCAGCACGGGGGTGGGACATCAGAGTGGAGGAAGGAGCAGGGGGGCCAGAGAGGAAGGAGGGAAGGCAGAGTGGAGAAGGCAGGAAGGAAGGAGGAGGAGGAGGAGAGGCAGAACAGAGGAGAGGAGAGACCCACGGTTCAGACCCCAGCAGCCACTAACTATTCATTCATCCCAAAGGGCACTTTGAACAATTCTTTTCTGAAATCTCACAATGCGTAGGAAGTGGGAGCACATCATAAACTGAGCACAGAGCGCTGCAGGAGCGTGTTCAAGGCCAACCGGCTGGGGGAGCTGCAGCCAGGCTGGCTCGAGTTCTTATTACAACGCTGCGTTGCACCTTCCCTACCTGACCCCACACCCCAGCCAACACCTAGGAACCCAGCACGTGCCGGACTCCGCAGGACAGCAAAAGCCCCTCTTTGCTCGTGCCCTCATCTGTCTGGGAGAACCGCCCAGCACAAGCCCCGCCCCACGGGCACACTCACGTCGTGGGAGAAGGCATAGGGCGTGATCCACACGATGGGCTGCCCGAGCACCTCAGCCTGGTAGTAAATGCCTTTGATGGACAGGAAGACCTGGGAGGAGAGAGGGGGCAGCTTGGTGAAAACTAAGGGGACGGCGAGGGAGAGCAGGGGGGGCCCGGCCAGGTGGCCCTGCGCTCACCTTGCGCAGAGCCCGGGCGGCGATGACGTAGTGCAGGAACTCCACCGTGAGCCTGCGGCACAGCTGGATGGTCTGCACGTGGCACTTGCCGGTCCGGGGGAAGGTGGAGAAGAGGAAGCACATGGAGAGGGCGTCGTCCAGGTCCCGAAGGGCGTCGATGAAGGTGGGGTACCTACGTGGCCGGGACAGACACTCAGGCCTGGTTACGTGCCACCCTGGGGGCCCCACCCCCAAGCGAGGCCTTGCCACGAAGGGGCCTGGCAGCACCAGCCTCCCACGGCCTTGGGAGGAACCAGGGAACCAGAACTGCCCGCTTAGCTCTGAGGATCCGAGAAATCCTGATGGGGTCCCCAAGAACCCACTGCAAGCCGAGGACTTGGACCTGGACCACTTTCGTATGTTGTGGTCAAAGAGGGCGGCCAAGCCAACAGCTCTCTTTCTCGAGGTGGAAACTTCGGGGCAAAGGAAATCTATCTAGAGGTCCGGGACAGGAAGCAGAAAAATGTGGCGCTGCCCGGGTGGGCCACGTGGAGGGTGGGGGCCACCCAGCTTGTGGGTGGCGGGGCTGCGAGAATACCAGCTGTTGCGCTCCCAGCCCGGCTCTCCCTGCACTAGCCCTTGGCTGGGCTGACTCAATGAATGCAAGTCCATCGAGCTGAGCTAAATGTTCCCGGGCAATTAGCCCCCGAGAGAGGATGGTCGCTCACTGAGCCCAAGGTTTCTGAATCTTACCACTATTAGCATTCAGGGCCAGGCTGTTCCGTGTCATGAGACTGTCCTGTGCACCGTGAGGTGTTTAGCAGCATCCCTGGCATCTACCCATTAAAAACCCACAGACCCTCCCATCCAAGTCGTTCTTAAACCTGGTTAAGAACCACTGAGTTAGACAACGAGTGAGTGGGACTAGTGAGAAGGCTGGAGAAGGGACGGTTAAGATCCAGCCATACCCTCCAGGTCTGACTATGCACCCTGTGTGCACTCCCCAGAACTCAGGCTCTCTCTTACCCCAGGGCCTTTGCACATGCTGTTGCCTCTGCTTGGACTGAGCTTCCCCTGGCTGGCTCGAACTTCTCTCCTCAGAGATACCTCCTCTCATGAGCCTGCAACTAACATGTGTCCCCCAGTTCCCTGCACACAGTGAGCATCCCTCCTGGCACTCATTTTGACTTGCAATCATTACAGCCATTTGGCAGTTTGGTTTTTGGTCTGCTTCCTCCAATGGGATGCTCGCAGCTTGGGCAGGGTCTTGGTCTTGCTCCCCACTGTACCCCCAGCTCACCGCTCCTTGACGATGTGGTCAAGCTTGTAGTTGGGCTTATTGTCCTTCAGACGCTCCACGGTGTTCCACTCACTCTTCCCATAGGCCTTCCGGAGCTTCCGGACAAACACCTAGAAGGGAGGAAGAGACAGCTGATGCTGGGGCAGGGGCTCCTGGAGACCCCTCATCTGTGGAGGAGGGATGCGTGGGGCGGGAGGATTCTCAAAGCCCCTGAAGCTGTGTGGCTGTGCCACCTGCTCCCTCAGCCCAAGATTTGCAAAACGGCCAACTCTAAGGAATATCAAAACTGACTCCTGCTGACCAGAGCCCGAATAATGACATTCCAGTCGATGCAGAGCCCACATATACAACAGCGATCCCGTAAGATTATAATGGAGCTGAAAAATTCCTATCACCTGGCTGACGTCATAGCCATCGGACCGTCGGAGCACAATGCATTACTCGTGTGTTTGTGGTGATGCTGGTGTAAACACATCTACTGCTCTGCTAGTGGTATGAAAGTGCACACACTACGTACAGGACACATGACTTGGTAATGGTAATAAAGGACTGTTACTGGTTTATGCATTTACTATACTATACTTTTTATTGCGATTTTAAAGTGCACCGTTTCTACTCATAAAAATAAAAAAAGTTTGCCGTAAAACCGCATGCTGTGTTACGCTGGCAGCGGCCTCATACATCTCGCGTTCACTGCATCTCTTGACGGCATCGTGTTCTCTGGGGCTTGATTTAACCTCGGGTTGTTTTGTGTCGGTGTTGTTATGGACCTGTAGCCACAGAGCAAGAGGCTATCGGCCCATAGAGCCTAGGTGTGTAGTAGGCTATACCGTCTAGGTGTGTGTAAGTACACACAGTACGATGAAATCACCTAACGATGGGGATATGTCTGAGAAATGCACCGTTAGGTGATCATGACTGTAGTTTTAAAACCCAGCAGCAGCCCAGCTGGTGTGGCCCAGTGATTGAGCGTTGACCTAGGAACCTGGAGGTCACGGTTCGATTCCCAGTCGGGCACATACCCAGGTTGCAGGCTCGATCCCCAGTGTGGGGAGTGCAGGAGGCAGCCAATCAATGATTCTCGTCATTGATGTTTCTCTCTCTCTCTCCCCCTCTCCCTTCCTCTCCGAAATCAATTAAAAATAAATATGTTCAACAACAACAACAAAACAGCAGCAAAACAGGGCCAGCCACCCACCTCGGTGGACTGGGCTGGACAGGTGGGCCAGCAGCTAGCTGTGGCCACCCGGTGGCGCCCCGCCCCTCCCACGGAGGGCCGCAGCCTGGCCCTGCTTGCTTGGCGAAGGCTTCCGTTTCCGCAGTCTACTTCCGGTTATTTGCATTTGGCATAAACAGGTTTCTACTTCGCCTGCGGTATTTCAGCACCTCATGGTTTCTACTTGTGGAATGGAAAGCTTGGTCTCCGGGGAGCAATTCCAGAAAGAACTGAGTAACAGTGGTGTCTCTGGGCAGAAAACGCACTGAGAGCCCTGGATAGCGCGATCCTTGCCTCGGAGGCAGTCAATTCACTCTTTTCCCAAAGAACCAAGGGAACAGTACAACAGGTAAAGCATTAACCGCTTGCCAGGTTCTGTGCAAATGATTTCCACACGAGATCTCAGTCAGTCCTCGCACACTCCTCCCACAGGCTTACTCGGAGACCAAACAATCGGCCAAGGTCACAGCCGGCGGGTCCTAACCTGCGACGGACCCATCCAGACAGACCCCCGAGCCCCGGCTTCACCTTGTATTCCCGGAACTTGTTGACGATGGGCTCGTGGAGGAGGAACTTGATGTCCTTGATCAGGTAGAAAGTCCGGGCTGCCGTGGAGCCCTTGTTCACCTTCTTCTTGTGTTTGGGCTCGTGGGGATAGATGCCCTTCAGGATGCACAGCCGCCTGGAAGACAGAGGCCATCCCTTCCGTCAGTAACGTGCTGAGCACCGGCCACGCGGGGCCTGGGAAACAGCACCGAACAGGGAGCACGGGCCTGCCCTTGGAGAACTCCCATCCTAGGGAGGAGGCGTAGTCACATGATGCAGACTGTCACAAGCTCCAGGGAGGAAACGATGAGGATGGTGAGAGGGGCCGGGCGGCAGGAGCCATCAGGAAAGGCCTGGCTGAGAAGCCAACCTTGCAGCCATAGACAGGGGAAGAGCATCCTGAGAAGGACGGAGGCTGTGAGGGTGGGGAATGCTGGGCAACCTGAAGGACGAGAAGGCGGCCAGGTGGCAGGGCCGAGAAGCTGTGCAGGAGGCTGGCGTTGACTCCACAAGGAGCTGAGAACCCCTCGCTGTAGGGCCAGGGGTCTCTTCTGCCAGAAGGAAGGAGATGGGGACAGACCCAGACAGAGAGCAGCGGTGTGCTGTACCAGGCCCCATCCTGATGACTCAGTGCAACCCGGGTCTCCTCCGGCTTCCCCACAGACCACACCTGGCAAAGCGTAGCTTAAAGCTAGGCCAGGTGAGAAAGAGGAGGGATATCAGAATTCCAGATGGAGTTTGTGGCAGCGCAGGGAAGACAGGGATGCAGCTGCGTTCTCCTTGTGTAACTCACTCCCCAGGACACCCCCCGCACCCCCTCGCCATTCCTTGCCTTCCCAACCTCACCTGAAGTCGGGCAGGCTCAGCTGCAGCTTCTTCCGGGCTTTGTTTCGGGTGATGTAGTTGGTGGCAGAGCCTCGTTCATACTTGGGGAGAAAAAAAAATGTCCCTTAGCAATGACTGAAGTGACTGACATCGCTCTTGGGCATGCCTGGTGCCGGAGGCAAGCACCTCTGAACAAGCGGCCCCTGGGATAGGAAAGGCTGTAGGGAGCGAGCTGCCCTGCACCGTCGTCCCTGCAGTGGTCAGCATACAGGACACACACCTTTGCATGCGATCGCGAGGCTGCCACGGATCAGGCGCTGTGCCAAGCGCTTAGTGGTAGCTCCAAGTGCTGGCCATTACGATGAGCGACTTCCACACATTATCTCATTGAATCCCCACAACACTGGGAGGTGGGTGCCTTTAAACTCCCATTTCACGTGGGAGGAGGGGTCTGAGTGGAATAACCTGCCCAGCTCACAGAGCTTTTCAAGAGCTGGGGCCGGGACAGGTCACACCTAGGTCTGAGTCCAGAACCTCAGTGCCTACTCCACGAAGCCAGTGTTCTCAACTTTTCCCTTTATAATCACCCACCCCCACCAGCAACAGCCTTTTTAGACCTTTCCCCCCTTAAGTGCCCCCTCTCACAGCTGCCCCATAAAAGGTTAATACCACAGATGTACTGTAGATCTGTTTGCCTCACGTGGTCCTTTAGAGGGCCAGCAACCATTGTAATATCTAAGGCACCCCCCTCCCCCGCCCCGCATCCCACCAACCAATGTTTGTTCCCTTGGGGGTGATATCATCTGCTTGCGAATACAGGCTCTAAGCCACAAAGACTCTTCCCTTCCCCACTCATTCATTCAACCGACAATAACAGGACCTCTACTACGTTCCAAGCATTAAGCTAGACGCCAGGAGGGCAATCAAAACCAAAGGCCTGGTCCAACCGAGCAACCATCTGGATGTCTATGGCGCCAAGATGCTGCCTGGCCCTCAGATCTCTTGTCTCCCTGGTAAAGAGGAGCAGTGCACGGTACCGAGCTCCGTGCAAGGCTCGCCCAGCACGTCCTTTCTGAACACCGTCTCTCCCCGGGGGCAGGGGGCAGGGGCCTCCACGGCCAAGTGCAGCCCTAGACGTAACCCTGCAGCCTCTTGGGGGGGTATGTTTACGGATCGCCCACCGTCACACAACACACACACCCCTCGTTTGCTCCCTTTTTCACAGCACATTTAACCATCCTGGATAGTTCTGGTTCCAGAAAAAAAGGGGCGGGGGGTTACAAGTGTTTGAGATGATGAATTCGACGTAATGGAGAACTTTACGCAATGTTTATCACTCTTTACTCAGTAAGCAGCTGTCTGTCGGCTAAACCTGCTTTTCGGGGGACGCTACGCTCGGTTATCGGCTCTTTTTACAATCCTCCTCCAGGGCTCTCCCCCGGATGTCACCGGACAAGTACGGCCTTCCTCGCCCATCCTTGGACCCCAGGAGGGACCAAGGCCGGGGCAGGGCGCGGTCCCCAGGCCCCGTCGCGCCCCCGTTTCCAAAGTATTGGCACAATAACCTGGGCCACCCCGCCCCGGGATCTCCCCCACGCACCTTCTTCTTCTCTAGGCCTCCCATGGCTCCACGCTGATGGGACCCGGAGCGCCGCGCGGACTGACAGCGCCACTTCCTCCCGCACGTGCCCGGCCTCAAGCCCCGAGGCCCCCACGCAGCCGGTCTGCGCAGGCTGCCCAAGGAGGTGCCTGAGCGCGTCTAGGCATAGACGGGGCTTCCCTCCTCACGATTTAAGGAGGGCAAAAAATCACTAGGACCGTTCTTTTGAGCTTTTTCCACCTATGACTCTATTGCAGACCGTTGCAACGTTTAAACGAGGGACGATATCAAGGCATATCTATAACTATCCCGATGACGACCCCACGGCCTCTGAGCCCCGTTGCATGCTGGGATGGAGAGGGGCGGAAAACTTGTAAACAGCGCAGTGCCTGCTGGGAAGCAGAGGGGAACAGCGTTTAGAGGGGAGCGAACGCATTCTGTTGTCGTGGTAACGGTTGCCATCGGCTTTTCCTTTAATTATGTACGTAAAATAAAGCTGTTATATGGGTAAAATTAAGCTAAAGCAGACTTCTATCCTACAGGGGTAGGGAAACCAGAGAGGCCACTTGTATTTTCTGAGCCTTAGCGATAGTTTGAAAAAATGATGAAAAATAAAACAAATTTTTTTTAAAAAATCTTAATTAAAATAAAAATGATGAAAGACCAGAGTTCTAGAGCTCGGAGTATATTTAAATGCACATTTAACACATCTGAGCTTTTACTATGTACACGTGAATTTTGTATTGTGTTCCTCAAAGGATAATTACAAAATTTATTACAAATATTCACACCAAGGTGGTGTGGTTTGGAAAGTAGATAGATTTTAAATTTCTTTAATGGGTTCTTCTTCAGGCCTCCAAACTCCATTTTTAACCGGTATGCGGATTTAGCTATTAAGCAGTTTAAAATGCGGATTTTGTAATAAAAGAAAACATAATTTCAAGAGAAATATCAAAAGTGCTTTATTCAAAGTAATGTCCATCGCTAGCTACAGACTTCCCCCATCTTTCAGGTGATTTGTGGAGACCGTCTCAATAGAACTTTTCTTGTTTTGAGGCAAACCATTCAGAGACCTAATTTTCCACTTCTTCGTACGTTTGGAAAACAAGTGGTCATCTGAAGGAGCAAGGTCTGGTGAATACGGCAGGTGGGTTAATACTTCCCAGGCAAGATCTTTTAACATGTCTTTAACTGGTTTTGAAGTGTGTGGTGCTGCGTCGTCATGAAGCAAAATGACTTGCTGTGTCTTCTGGCCCATTCTGGTCTTTTTACGATCAAAACGTGGTTCAAATTGATCATTTCTTGTCGGTAGCGATCAGTATTAACGGTTTCACTTGGTTTTAGAAGCTCATAATACACCACACCTTCCTGATCCCACCAAACGCAGAGCAGTGTCTTCTTTCTGAAGCTATTTGGCCTTGCTGTCGATGTTGATGGTTGACCTGGATCAACCCATGATTTTGTGCGTTTGGCA